CATACAGAAAGGACAAACATTGACGTGACATTCATGCCAATGAGAGTTTTAACACTTGGACCTGTAGCCTGAAAGTTAGAATTCAAATACTCAGATTCACATGTTTGTATCTTTCTATCAATATGTACTGCAGGAAGATTTTTTGGTAAATGAAGTTTTGCCTTTCAGGTTAAATTAGTTCTAAGCTGCAGCCGCAAAAGCAGCGTGTACTCTGTGGTCTGGAAGATAAAAACAGCCTCTCTGGTTCTGCTGAATGTCTGTGTGGTTTTTCAGCGATATGAAGAGCGTGCTTCAGGACTCGGAGCTGAGTCTTCTGCAGCGCTGCCTCCTGGTGTCACGGTGGGTTCTCCTTCTTTGTAAAGTCTTTGTTAATCTTCAGATTGCACTATGTTAAATGATGCTAAAGGACGAATAAGTTAAAGAAAATTAAAAGTTATAGGAGCTCAAATCATTAGTGAGCATATTACTAAGAAAATAAAGTTCCTTGTAAAACAGAAGAATCCTTCAGAGAGAGATTTTCCTCTCCTGAACGTGTCTGACATGTTGTGGTTGACTCTAGGTTGTTCGGGGATGAGTCCGACCTTAACTTCTGGACAGTGGCGTCCCACTACCTGCAGCTGTTTGCCCAGGCTCGTCAGCTAAGCGTGACCTCTGAAGGGGGGAGTGAAGAAACCCAGCCGCCGTCTCAGAACCACCTGGACATTTGCCACGACATTTTGTGCGAGAGTTCTTACTTCCAGGTCAGTAGAAAGAGAGGCACGTCAGGTAGTTTTACTTGTTTCTTCATCTTCCACTGAGAAAAGATCCCAAATCCAGCTGAAAGACAATAAAGTTTGTGATTATGAAGTATCAAAATGTTAAAACGTTACAGACTTATGTTTTTCTGCAAAGTGCTGTAGTTTCCTCTGTTGTCTCACTCAGTTCATGACTCATTTCGTCACATTTCTCCGACTCATAAGTGTTTTAACATTAATATTTGGAAGTCATCTTCTCCACTTGATTCACTCAACAGAAGTTCCAGCTGGATCGAGTTCACTTGCAGGAGGTGAAGAGGTCCAGTTATGAACACACCAAGAAATGTGCTGACCAGCTCCTCCTGCTGGGTCAGGTAGGTACAACACCATCCCATCACCTAAACCAGCGGTTCTCAGACTTCATTTTTGTGCGAGAGCCATTAAGGATTCCTATTGCAAAGTTTCTGAATCTAGATTCTAAATTCTCACATAGTTTGCAACGTGAGGCCTGATCCGTTTTGTTTTAATCCAGCTTTAAAGAACAGCGTTCCACTTCTCAACCGTGCATACACTCAGATTAATTGTAAATGGATCATAATCTGGCGCAGAGAGGCCTGTCCACAACCCAGCATGACCTTCCTGAGTGTGTACACCAGATTAAAATTGTTACCGCTCACAGTTCCCAGTGCTTGCCTGCCTCAGGTGTTGTCTTATGTCTCTCAGACCGACCGGGCGGTGCAGTTGCTGCTGGAGACGAGTGCAGATAACCCCAGCTACTACTGCGATTCACTCAAAGCCTGCCTAGTGACCACCATCACCTCCTCGGGCCCTTCACAGTCTACAATCAAGCTAGTGGCCACCAATATGATTGCTAATGGCAAACTGGCAGGTAATTATCACAACCTGTTATCTGCTTTGTCAGTTTAAATGAGCCAAATGCAGAAAGTGTGAGTCTCAGCGGTTTGTCTCTTCTTAACACATATCTGTGGACTGTTTTGACTTTGTTGCAGAGGGAGTCCAGTTGTTGTGTCTGATTGACAAGGCGGCGGACGCCTGCCGCTACCTGCAGACCTACGGGGAGTGGAACCGAGCGGTGTGGCTCGCTAAGGTAACTCAGCAGTTCTGGGATCGGAGGCTGAAGTAGTGGGTCGACGGAAGAAGACCCACTACATTTGCCTGTTGTCTGACGGTGTGAATCTCTGGGTTTCCAGGTGCGCCTGAGCCCAGCAGAAGGCTCCGACGTGCTGAAGCGCTGGGCAGAGCACCTGTGCTCCCCTCAGGTCAACCAGAAATCCAAAGCCATCCTGGTGCTGCTGTCCCTGGGCTGCTTTTACAAAGTGGGAGAGATGCTGCACAGGTGAGAGAATTGATTTAAATAAGTATCTATTTGTAGTTATTTAAATGAATTACATGCGATAAGAATATTATTTAAAACCTTTTTATATAATATTTGATAAACGAGCTTGATTCAGTTTTTAAAAAGGTTGTCAGGCTTTTTATAATTGGATTTATTTTCATCTTGTGATTTTAAAATCAAAATCTCTAAATTTGTGTATTGAGGATGCGACTTGCCCTGTACCTTTGATCAATCTAATGCTGGTACCACTCTGCCTTCCCCACAGCTTTTGCTCAGGTTTCTGAGCAAGAGCTGCTCAGAGTTGATGAATGCTTCATAATCACACGTGAAGCATTGGTTTATGGCTAATGTTCTAACCTCCTTCTGTGTCTTTCTTTTCTTTTCTTTTCCACCTGCCTTGGCAGTATGAGGTACTTTGATCGCGCCGCCCTCTTCATTGAGGCTTGTTTGAAATCTGGGGTAATGGAGGCCAATGACTCTTCCAATATCCTTTTTTTGAAATCTCACTACAGCACTCATTGGGTCTCAATGATGCTTAGGTCGCTTTTTGTTTTTGTTTGTTTAGGCCAGTTTATACATATTGAAACACCACTCTTTACGAGTGCCTTAGAATTTCCTCGAGTGTTTGCACGTAGTGCTGTGTCCTCCTTAACCCGTCGCTGCACATAAACTCATCGAGGCTGCGTTTCTGGACTTTGCACGGCTGCTGCGTTCGCTGGGCCTGCGGGAGGGCGCCGCTCTGTGGGCGTCGCGGGCCGGCAGCGCCGGAGAGCAGCTGATGGAGGAGCTCTTCCAGGGGGAAGGTGGCGTTCCCGAAGCCGTACTTGGCGAAGACGAGGTGGAAGTGGGACTGGAGAGCACAGAGTGAGCGGGTGTCTATCAGAACTCGATCATTATGAATGAACTCTGGATCGGCATCCGGGAGATTCATGCTCATCACCTCTGCATCTCTGAGGAGAGGGGATGCGAGGCGTTTATTCCTTGTGAGGTTTTTACTGGAAGCTACCTGCGTCTGTGGCTGTGATGAGGTTGAGGTGATGTAAACGGTCTGTGTGTGTATGTGTGTGTGTTCATGTGTAAATGCATGTAACGGCCCAAGAAGAAACACTTTGTGTCCCCATCACCTCTTTGTCACTCCATGTTGCTTCCATTTAAATCCCTGAATGTTTGTTTTACAAATGGTTACTTTCCGTGATGGTTTTGGTGATGTCAGAGTACTACTGTAGCTCTATGGGTGTCACTGAAAAAAATGATCTCTGTCCTTTTGAAAGTGTGTTGTAGCGGTGCCCCATGGGTGACTTTCTTGATTCATGAATTGCACTTTTAATTTCACACCTAAGACTTTATAATTTGATTGGAGATCTTGCTTTAACTGGCCATGTGATTATGCACAAATACACAAAAGCAACTTGTTCTTTGAGTCACTCACCAAAACCTGACTTTTCCTGATTTGTCAGTTTGATACGAGAACTGTCACCACAGTGATGACGTGAATTAGACGCATGATGTATCTTAATCCATTCCAGTTATCTTTTAGCATCCTTTCGGCTGTTTCTATGGACACTTGCAACAGTTTGCCATCTGTGTTTTTGATGTTACGGTAATGACGTTTGCTACAAACAGAGCTATCAAGCTGTTAATCAGACCTCTGAAACGTTTAACCAGTCTGTGCTGCTTTCTGAAATAATCCCTTGCATTCATTCATTCATTCCACTTAGACCTTTTAAACTTTTGTCATCTTACAACCGCAAAATTAATTGCAGTTTATTGGGATTATACATGACAGAGTAACACAAAGTAGCACATGATTGTGCAGCTGTGCATATCCTGAGTAAAGATATCCTGCACAGTTTTCTTATCTAAAATGCTCAAACTCAATCAGAAGAGAATATCTGTGGACATCTGTTTTCAAGTCCTTCATACAGATTTACCTCTGGACTTTGACAGGACCATTTTGACACATGACATGTTGGTGATCGCCAGCTAGAAGCTGAACTTCCACCCCAGTCCAAAGCTTGGTGAAGACTCTAATAGGTTTTCTCCTTATTTATTCGACTCAATCATCTGTGGTCAGCTTCCCACAGCATGATGCTGCCACCACCAGATTTCACTGTGGGGTAGGTGTGTTCAGGGTGATGTGCAGTGTGAGTTTTCTGCCTCACAAGTGATTTTTGAAGTCGACTGGTTCTGATTTGTGCAAATATTTTTGCCTTCCACACAATTATGCACTATTTATATGCTAATCTATCGTATGAAATCCCAATAAAATAGATTAAAGTTTGTGGTTATAATACAACGACAATAAAAAAGTATAAGAGGTGGGAATACTTTTGCACTGCCACCCGTTCTTCGCTGTCCCGCCTGGTTCTTTACATGCTAAACATATCCTGAAGATCCAAACCATCAGCGTAATGTTGCAAAGATTTTATAGTGTTTGTGATTTAAAAAAAAGAAGAAAAAGAACAGTTTCTTACTTTTAGTGTTGATGTGTTTCATAAACACACCAGTGGTGTTTCATGTAATCCGTGCTACTGTAAAAAACTGGAACAGTGTTGCTATGGTAACCCACGTCCACTGACTGCTCCGCCTAACACTACTCGTGATTAGCTGTAGTGTATCTTACTCTGTGTGAGGGCATCGTGGAGACGTGTACTGGTCTTCTTTTCCTTTTGACGAAATGTTTAACAACATTCTGCTGCTTTTCTTTATATGTACAATGAAATTATACTGCTGAAAATCCTGGCACGTAGACATGTCTTTAACTGTATATTTTCTAAGAAGAAGAATCCATAATGTTTATCTTTTTTTCTTTGTCTATTGTTAAAATCGTGATTCTGATGCTTCATGGCAAGATAAAGAATTATATGTGTATATGAATGGTAATAAAAAATGTCTTCAAGGTTTGTTTTTGTTTTTTTTTTTCTTCTCACTCGCTTACATGAATGTTAACACAAGAGGGCACTCTTGTCTCTTAAAATAAAGCTAAACACCTCCAGCACTTTGTGATAATACCAGAAAGGCTGACACTCTGGGAATTCCAACCCAGGTAGGCTGAATTTTAATGTTCGCTCATTTATCAGCCTGTCCTTGAAGTGAATTAGTCCCAGCGTGAGCCACTTCCGCAGTTAATTAACTTCTTTTCTGCTCGGGAGGCAGACCAACAGCTGGCCTCAGCTCGCTGCCCAGGTCTAACCGTTTTCTCCCTTTTCATCGCCTCGGATTTATTCTTCGATCTGTATTCTCCTTCTCTTCCTTGCCCCCTCCCCCCCCAGTAAAGAAAAAAAAAATCTTGACACAAAGAGAAGAAAAACTGTCTGGAACACACAGGGCTCCCAAATGACTTGTTTGTGCTCCTTTTAATGGCTTGATGAATAACTGCCGGAGAGCTGTTACAGCCAGATCATCTGTATGCATGCAGGGCCTCGCCGCAGGTTTTCTCCTACAGCCACCCTGCTACCTAAAACAGCGACTCCGATCCAGCTGACCTGACTTTATAGCTCCCTTTTCCAACTTACTGCTTCTTTTCTCCTTTTTTTTTTTTTTTTTGCACCTAAATGCATCCTGGCAGACTTATGCCTTCGCCGCACCTCCTCCATTGATTTCCTTGAAGGCTTGTTTCCATCCGCTGCTTGGCCCCTTCTGAAACTGGAATAAAAGCAGGCAGGTCCTGAGACCCAAAGCTGTGAGAAGCACTTAAAGGGCTCTGGTCTGTTTCATGCACAGGCTGAAAATCAGCAGCAGACACCAGTAAATATTATTGGGCTTTTATGTTATAGACCACTGGTACAACAGTAAATATTTTCCATTTCATTTCCAAAGTACATTTTCCAAGTACTTCTATTATTTTTTTTGACAGTAGTGCAATAGATCTTGAACATTTTCAGAAAAAAATATGTAATTAGCAGTTGGGTTGAATAAAGAATAAAGTATGATGACCTTTATTCTTTTTTTTCCCCCTGATGCTTTCATGAAAAATAAACTTGGAAGTTTGAAAATTAGCTGAAATGTTCCTAGAAGAGGAAAATCTTGAGCTTTCTCCCCATCCTGCATGGCCCCCCTTACACATACATGCACTCAAAACTATGTGTAAGTGGATTCAACTTGATCTCAGTTTAATCAGTTGATCTGTGAGGACATCAGTGAAGAAACAGGATTGTGGAAACCAATGAGTTTGGCGTCACAGCAAGTCAGCCAAGACGTGGACAAAGATGGTATTAATCCGAGAAGATTAGCTTCTAAAGCCACAGCTCAGGTGGGAGGACCTGGACATGACATGTTCATCATGTGACATGGAAGTTATTTCTTATAGAAGTGTCAATAAGAAAGCCATTTGAATTCCCATTTGCCAATTTTCACAAACCATAAATGTGGGACGTTTTAGCGTACATCTAAAAACGTTTAGATGTTTTTGACAGATACTACGTAAGATAATCTTTGTGATGAAGCACACACTGCAGTGTGTGTAGAACATGCTGGTAGCAGGTCATCATGTTTCCATGAGCGTCTTTCCCTCCTCGCTGAATCCAGGCTGGGCAGGTCCGAACCTGCTCGCACAACTTACAGAAAACCCAGCTGTTTATCTTCATTTTATGGGTTGTTCAGCAGTTTGTCTCCTAATCCTCACTCAGGGTTTCCTCTCAGATCTTTACTTTGTTGCTATGCAATCACTTTGTTCCCCTAATACCTCTCTAGAGGAGTTTTGAGTAGTTTTTGGCGGCCTTGTCCCAGGTAGTGCTTTTGTTTCACTCGTGTCTTTTTAACTTGTGTTAAAAAGTGGTGGAAATTAATTCATTTTTTGCTGATCTGATGCTGAAACTGTCATTTTTCTAAACTCCAGTCTGCCAAACAGAAAGCGGAACTGCTGAAGGTCATACGAGTTCCTCACCGCTGTAAAACGTCTCCCCACCCACATCTTGGGCTATCGCTTTGCATCACAGGGGCCCAGAGTTCCCTGTTTCATCTGAAATTCACAGCCAGTCACTCCTTCCATTGGCAAGACGTAGTTTCCCTTTCTGCTATTGGTTCAAGCTTCCTGTTTACCCGAAAGTCTTGAGGCTCCGGTTGGCTGTTGAAGTGGTGCTGGGGCCCACGCTGGGGGCTCCAGGTGATGTTTATGTTGGAAGCGTTTAGGCCCCCAGCTTTATGTGAACTCATTTAGATGAATGTCAGAGTGTTCAGCAGACCATGCTCTTACTTAACCACAACGCCACAATGCTCCCATTTTAAAACAGCATTAAGTGTGGATACGGGCCTACTGAACAACAGGATCTATGGTACATTAACGAATGATAAACGACTGGTAATAGCTGCCAGACAGGATCATTATTTTAGAAACTCCTACCTTTTTTGTGTCCTGGCCGTGTGTGTGTTGAGATAACCTTTTATCTGCTGTGCAAGAAGTAAAGGGAGCATTGTGTCAGGAGCATAGGGGCACCTATTGTGGCTCCACTTTCACTTTCCAAGAAATAATGACTTCACTTGATTTCATGAAATAAGAAAAATATATCTCTATATCGGGATAATAGCAGTTCATTTATTCTGGGCTATTAAGAGATGAAAATAAGCCCAGAAAACTACAATGTTATTCTTCTTTCGTAAAATCGAGTACTTTTCCTGCTCTAATACTTCTCGGGATTTATATTTTTTATTCTTTTAAGTTACAAAAAAGTAATGAACTAAATGAAAGAAATGAAACTAAATTAATTCAACAAATAGCTACGTATAAAAACTGTTGTGCCAAAAGGTATGACCGTGATGCAAAAATAAATAAATCCTTGTTCACTGGTTTCCTGTGCAACAAAAATCACATCGTGTTCTTTTACATGAGATAAGATGAGGATGTGATGAGAAAAGAAAAAAAAAAGAAAAATTGGTAACACTTTATTTGAAGGGGGTGAATAAGACTGACATGACACTGTCATAAACATGACATAACACCTGTCATGAACATGAATAAGCCTTCATGAATATTTATGACTGTTGTCATAAAGCGTCATTCGGTAAATTATGACACTTTTAATACAAAGTTGACATTATTCAATATGTCTTTGTTATGACAACTTCACATTAACCAAGAAATCATTACTGTTTAAACTTTATCTTTACTAACATAAAGTTACCTCATTTTTAAAGTGCAATCAGTAATACTTTATAACAAATTTATATCAGTAATGATTTCCTGGTTAATGTCAAGTTGTCATAACAGACATTTTGAATAATGTCAACTTTGGATTAAATGTGTCATAATTTACCGAATGACGCTTTATGACAGTCATAAATATTCATGAAGGCTTATTCATGTTTATGACAGTGTCATGTCAGTCTTATTCACCCCCTTCAAATAAAGTGTTACCGAAAAAGGTATGTGTCTCCAGGTTGAACACTGACTGTCTTTCTGTTATGAAAAAATATTTACCCTTGACTTTTGCGACATACATCCCACTTTAAGAATGGTTTAGCAAGCTTATATCTCTAGGTTCTCTAGTAAGAGTCAGTCTTGCAGTGAATCTGAAGAGGCCTCTGACTAAAGATGCTGTTGCTGGCCCATGACTGTCATACATGACTGTTATGACATGCTAACAGCTCGATTTCTGGGCAGCAGAGGTTATATTTCCCACATGTCCTGGATGACACCATCAGTTGTTGGTAAGCATTGCTAATCCACCTCATTTGCTTTTTCTTCTCCTCTGTACATATCTGTCTGGAGCAGTGTTCAAGCTATTATCAAAGTGGGTGTTTTTCTTAAGAAGGGATATGAGAGCTAAACTGTTTATGAATAACTGTAAAAACGTTACATTTCCACCATGAATGTAACACCTCCAACAATAACTTACTGTGGCTAAACAGACTGGCAGCAATTCATCTTAACTTGCTAGTAAGTAAACTAAAATTAATATTAAAGAACACACTTAAATACTCTAAAATCAATCATCACAGCCTCACAGAACCTGAAAACTCAAAACATACAAAGACAAGATCAAGAGGGATTTGGAGATGTTTATAAGACGTCATGTGTTGGCTGGAGCAGGAGGGTTTTTTTTTTTGTAGTGCCAGGCTTTTGCAGCTCCTGCAGAAACTGAAGCTCATCAGTAAATGGTCCTCAGAGAACAATCGGGATGTGCACCACAGTAAGATGACGGATGGCTCTGATTCGCGTTGCATTGTGAGAGAGACATTCATGTTTCTTTTAGACCGACATGCATCACATCCGTGGAAATCTCCAAACTATCTCGGAGCAGGAGGCTTACCTGACACAGTGAACGCCTCATATAGCAGGAAATCCACACTGCTGAGTCAACAAGCCAAAACCGACGCAGCTGAAAGATCAGATGTTGACAAAGCTTAAAGTACGTTCAGCCTCGCTATGGATGTATATGTTTTAATGTTTAATGACAAATGGCTTCTGCTTAAAGATTCTCTTGAGGATTTAGCATCTAAACAATGAGGCGATGAGAGACAAGCTCAAGCAGGAGACAACATTAAGCCCACCAGTCACAAAGGAACCAGGGGGAGACAAAAACCCAAACTTGGGATTTCACGACTCCAAAACATGTTTCTCTGTGTTTTTATTGTAGTTAAATGGTGAGCCCTGAGGTGATAGAGATGCCATAGACGCCCCCTGCAACAACAAGGCCCTCCGCAGTCTAATGGCCACCATCCTTTGAGAGATTAGAGGAAGGCTGCTGTGATTATGAAGGAAATGGCCTTTTATGAGCTGCTGCTCACAAGGCCAGCTGGGCTGGGGTCCGCACAGATCAGGGTATTCCCTTTCATCAGCAGACAGTGGCAGCCAGGAGAGGAAGTAAAGGATACCTGCACTGTTGCTGATCTACTTCCTGCGTCGCTGTGCATGCACGTGTGTTTGTGTGAGCCAGCGCTACGCGTCCTCAGCGCGCGAATGTAC